CAAAGTCAAGAGATGAAGGAAAACACATATTAGCATATGCAGAGTATAGAAATGCTTCCTGCCCACATATTCCAGGGGTTATATTCACAGCAAACCTCTGAGATTCCATTAATTCATGGATTAATAAAACATGGGTGAGCAGGTAGCGTATGGAGAGGGCTACACATGCTTGTTTATAGTTAACACATCACTCATCGTCCCTCCTGGAATGAAGAACTTTGACTGCAGAGCTGCAATTCTCTCATTGCATATGAATGTGGCTGCAGTGGGGAGCCTGCTTATCTGGGGAATGTGCTGCCGGCTGATTTATAATGAAAGGAACCTGAAGAGAAGTAGTTGGTGCCTTTTCCCACAATCCGATAAGCTGTTACACAGAGATAAACAGTTGCATTGAATTAAGCATGTTGGTCTATTTGTCACTGTTAAATTTTAATTTTCCTGTTCTTTTAGTTTCTTAAGGCTTCATTTTAAATCACGCTAAGTGTTTTCAAATTATGCTTGTCCCTACAGTCTTAATCATTATAAATTCTGCTTTAAGAAAAAGGTATATAAGAAAATACTAAGACACTGTATTTAAATGTTACTCTAATTGATTTTTAATTTGTAATTCTCTAAGACTACATTAAAAATTTCTTAAAGATCCCTCCCTGACAGAGGACTTAAAGGAAAAATATTTTACATGATATTTTTGCCAGTCAACTTGTTTTTAAGATCTGTATATCTAATTTCTAAATGAATATGCTATATAAGTTGTAATGAATTACTTTTTGAGTCAAGCATTTAGTAGTAATCACCATGTTAAAAATCTATGATATACTTATTTTTAAGATTTTCATAAGTTATAGAGATAGTTGTTAGAAATAGATACGTATACTTTTCCATCACTTTCTACATAAATATATCTAAGCATTTAAAATGTTGACAACAGAGATAATATTCATTTGTTTACAATTGGGTATCGAGTTCATCGCCTAGCACATATGGTAGGTACTCAATAAATATTTGATGAATGAATGCATCTTTGAAACTTTGAAATACAATAATATGCATATGCCTAATTTAGTATTCTCCTGACCAAAAACTTAAAAAGTAAATGTACATCAACTTTGGGGCACATCCCTCCTGGCTTTTTAAGGACTTACCATAGCTGATACAAAGGGAGCATTTTCTTACTATAGCTGATACAAAGGGAGCATTTTCTCCTACATATACACAAAGTAACTCCTGTAGTTCCACCTGTTGACAGTTCTATCATTAAGGAGGATAATAGGGTAAGAGCACCTGGCATGATTAAGTAGGTAATGAAATAAAACAATCAATTTCTTTGCTCGAATTCCCATTTCCTATGTCACAAATAAAATAGCAAAGTCATGTGCAAACATAATCATTGTGTCTTCAAGAAATATTTGTTGAGTGTTTTCTGGATTGCAGATGCTACGCCAGTTCCTGAATACACAGAAATGCATGAAACATAGCTCCTACTTGTGAAACAGGCGAATTGATAGACACTATTACTTTCAGTGTAATGCCATGTTTCATTTGAAGTCATCTTTGACTAAGAGCATTTTCCCAAGAGAGAATTAAGCTTTCCATGAACTATGCTGTCATCTTTACCCATTAAGTAGTCAAAGTTCATATTCAAGAGATACCTGCACTTTTTCATAATGGTAAGACTATGCTGATGACCTTCTTTTAATTAATTACTCTATTTTATAAGGCACATAAAACAATTATTTTATAGAGAAATTTCTGATTCTTCATCATTACTGATAATGATTGCGGTGTCTTTTGCCTTCTATGGCATCTTTGCTTCAAAGGGAATTGCACATAAGGATCGAAGAGAGACCAGAAATTGACATAAAATTTTTAAAAATTCTACTGCAGAGTCAACTTTTTAAAACATTAGTGTTATCCTTTCTGGTGCCCTGTGGCCAATCTCCCAGAGAGGTTTTGGGTTAACACTGAGCATTCCAAAGACTGCTGCCATCATGGCTGAGGTTCACACCTAAATAAATAAACAAAACAAAACCCAGAGGACTTGTGTGTCTCAAGAAAACAACCTATCACTTGCTCCATGCAAAAGGAACAGAAAGAATGTGGGAGGTTGGTTTTATCGGACACTGCTAGCATGAAAAGGGAAAAATATCAAAACTGTTGAACAGCAGACTCATTCTTGTCTTAGTTTTTTGTAGAGTTTTGTTTCTTTCTTCAGACCTTAAAAATCCTAAATGCTGTGCCATTTCATTCATTCCCACTGAGCAGATAAGGAAACAAATGTGAGTTATAATAGGAATAGCAAATATTTCTTGAACTAGCTACAGCAGGAAGTAAACAATTGCACTGGGGAAGGAAAATAGGAAAGAATTCTTGGCCTTTCCTGGTAGTGACTATTGAGTCCTTTTTTAAATTTTTATTTATTGATTTTAGAAAAAGAGGAAGAGAGAGAGAGAAACATCAATTTATTGTTCCACTTATTTATGTATTCACTGACTGGTTGATTCTTGTATGTGCCCTGATCCGGGATCGAACCCTCAGCCTTGGTGTATCATGATGATGTTCTAACCAACTGCGCTACCTGGCCACAGCTATGACTATTGAGTCTTAAATTAGTGGGTGTGTACCAGATAAATGGGCATAGAAGGGCATTTACAATCAAGGGAACAATTTGAGTAGAAGGAAGAGGTCATCAACATTCTGGTGTCCACTAAAGTGACCATAATTCAATATGGCTGAAGCATAGATTTGAAGGTAGAGGTGGAACAAAGTTGATGGGCACAGTGAACAATAAGACTTGAGAACTAGCCAGGGAAAAGATCATAGGGCAGGAATAAGTCAATTCTCCAACCTAGAGGAAACAGAGAGTAGATATAGATCAACAGGAGATGGGCCACTCTGAGCAGCAGTTAAGATTATGTTTTGGACAGAGTGTTTCCTTTAATGGGACACTATTTAGATTGTTAACATTTGCTAAGTTACTCAAGAACACACAGGTGTCATGGCTTTCAGGAATCCTGACTGAGCCACCAGGAGAGCTCCCTCCTTCATAACACTTCACCAATCCACAATTATGCACAAAAGCAGGAGAGCAGGCAGGCATACTACACCACACAGACAGGGGTGAGCAACTGTATGGCAGGGGGATGTTCCAGGAGCCTGAGTCATCACTTTTCTCATCTAACTCCATATGTCAAATAAGCTCACCTTACCTAGGAGGAAGAGGGGTGGGCAAGCAGAGTGAGAGTGTTGCCCAGAGTTTTCTCTAGTGCTAGGAAGCTGACTAACAGTACCATAGTAGGTCCATTGGTTTGTGTGCATGCAGTGGTTTCCAAAACCAACCCAAGGGTTTTGGAGAGATCCGAGAAGTAAATGTAGGTCAACTTGGGGACACATTTCTCTTGGTTTATTAGGGACCCACCAGAGCTGCAACTTCCTAACACAAAGACAGCATTTTTCTCCTAGATATACATACAAAATAATTTCTGTAGTTCTACCTGTTGGCAGTTCTATCATCAAAGACCTTAGCCTGCCATCAAAAACACATCCTCACAGCAGGGCCTTGCCTACCTTGATTCCTACAAGATGCATATTTTCTAGCATATGTTGTATAAAGAAGCTCAATTAATGGAACTTCCTTGAGCTACAATCTACTATGCAAACCTCAGCACTAGCACTCACTGCATCCTCTAAATGTGAAGACCACATCAGGAGTTGCCTGACACTGGCCAGCAATTGCTCTTTACCCATCATCTATATTGTACAAGTTATGCAATAATAGTTTTTAAAATTTAGTACTTGAGGAAGGTTATCTTTTTGTAACTCACAATAAGTTGCTTTGGAGGTTGGCAGCAGCCCTCTAGAAATCTACTGCTATGGTCCTGTTAGAGAAAACAAGAGCCTGAAACAGTGAGAATAGAAAAGGAGAGACAGCTCTGAGAGGTGTTAAGCAGGTAGACCCTGCAGAACTTGGTGGCCAATTGAAAGAAAATAGGAGAGAGTGAAATCAGAAGGACTCTAATAGGTTTCTAGCTTGAGGGCCTGGGTACAGAGAAGATCCATTCACAGAGATAAGGGAGAGTTTATGACAGGTAGACTTGGAGGTGTCAGAGGGGTGTGTGTGTGGAGCTGTTTAGCAGTTAACTTAGGAGTCATTTAAGTGGTGATTGAAGCTATGAACCTTGGAGGAGCTAGCTCAGGAAAGGGGTGGGGTTGAGGGTATTCAGCAATGGAATTTGAGATGTAGTCAGAAGTGAAGCATGAAAATAGAAACCTAGAAAGTTGCAAACAGGTAGAAAACAGTCAAGATTTCAATTAAAATCATGTAAAATGAGGAGTACAGTGGGTATATATGGAATTTAGAAACTAGCAGATCAGTAGTAGCTTTTTCCAAAGCCATTTGTTAGAGCAGTAAAGAAAGAATCTCAAGCGCAATGGCTTGAGAGCACCTGGGATAAGGGGAAGTGGGCACAATGCTGCAGATGATTCTTTTGAAGAGGTCATCTCTGAAGAGAGGACAGGGATGTAGTGGTAGGAATTCAGAAATGGTGACAGAGCTACAATTGTGTTTTGCTCACTTCCAAATGAAAAGGGAAGAATGGGTAAAAAGGGTGTTGCTTATAAATGTAGCTGAAAGAGAGGGGATAAACATTCATACCAAGTTGAATCTCTACCAATAGGTAAGTAAATGACTGAACTCGGCATTAGAAAAACCAGAGTCTGAATACTACCTCCATCCTAAGTATACTTTGTCAAGTTACTTTACCTCTTTAGTCTTCAGTCACCAATTCTGAGAGCTGGGACCACTAAGATCTACATTACAGTGGGTTGTTAGGACTGAGTGAGGATGCTATGGGAGAGTGCTTGGTGCAGTGCTGCAGTGGTTCAATGTGTTGTCAGTAAATGGTATTTTGAGTCATTATCCTATCAAGGACTGAATGGGACCATTGATGTAATTATGGTTGCTTTCTTTACCATTTTTGTTCATATAATTTTTATCTCTCTAGGAATTTGGTGACAGGATCTGCTAGTCTGTTCCTCCCTTATATGAAGGACAGGACAAAGATCCAGTTTGGAAATGAGAGAGGAAGACTAGTGGGCAACATTGGTTCTGTCCATTGATATCTCCAAGAGGTACAGAAACAGGATTCATGAAGATGTTGACAAGACTCCAAGTTCTTACCTTAGCTTTGTTTTCAAAGGGATTTTTACTCTCTTTAGGGGACCATAATTTTATGAGGAAGGAGATTAAAATAGAAGGTGACCTTGTGTTAGGGGGCTTATTTCCTATTAATGAAAAAGGCACCGGAACTGAAGAATGCGGACGAATCAATGAAGACCGAGGGATTCAACGCCTGGAAGCCATGTTGTTTGCTATTGATGAAATCAACAAAGACGATTACTTGCTACCAGGAGTGAAGTTGGGCGTTCACATTTTGGATACATGCTCAAGGGATACCTATGCATTAGAGCAATCACTGGAATTTGTCAGGGCATCTTTGACTAAAGTGGATGAAGCTGAGCATATGTGTCCTGATGGATCCTATGCCATTCAAGAAAATAGCCCACTGCTCATTGCAGGCGTCATTGGCGGCTCTTACAGCAGTGTTTCCATACAGGTAAGACTGGCCAGGGCTACTACTAAAACACTGTGTCTCTTTCATTTTATGTCTTGGGGAAACAAAAGAAAGACTATCCTAATAACTTCATAAATGGATGATATTGGTAATTGTTCATATCTATGGGTATTTGATAATATAGGTTTTCAGACAGAACAGTTCTCCAGTAATAAAAATTGTTTAGAAGTATATCAAGTAGCTACTGCAGCATAAGAACCTACTCCAAATTTCAGTGGCTTAAAAATTAATTATTATTGTAGTTTACAAGTCTGAAGATCAACAGGAGTGAGCTGATCAAGGCTGAGTTCAGCTAGCAGTGACTGCTCTAAGTTGTCCCTTATTCTCTAACTGGAATCAGTGGGCTAGCCCAAGTTTATCTTCTAAGAGTGATGGCAGAGGTGCCAGCAAACACAAACTTAACAACACAAGCCCCTTCCAAGCTTTCTTTGCATCAATCTGCTAATATCCCAGTGTTAAGGCAACTCACAGGGCTCACCCCAGAATCAAGGCGTAAGGAAATATGTCCTGCCCACAAGGCAAGTGCAGCAAAGTTACATCACCAAGGATATAGATACATGGTGGAGTAATGAACTGAAGCCATTGATACAGTCAATTGTATACGAGAAGGTACAATTTCACTGAACTCTATTTTTTCACACTAATTTTTACTAAAGTATAGTTTTGTTCAGAGATAAATTATAAACAATTCCTCATGGTAGAAAAGATGAAAAGGCATGCAGAGTAGCCAGATAATTACTACCAAAACAGAGTGAAGGAACAACTCAGCTTGCAACTTAAATTAATGCAAATCTGGTAATTGGTTCTCATCATTTTGTTAGGGAAAGAAGGAATATATTATTCAAACTTTTGCAATGCTCACCACTTACAGGGTCACAGAATTTTAGAGATGAAAATGAACTGAGAAATCATCTAGTTCAACTCTCTCATTTTCCCAAGCTCTGGAAATACTGGTTTCCAAAAACTCTCTTTGTTAGGTAGCACAGGAACTGGGACTTGGTTGGATCCTTTGGACTTTGGGGCTCTTTCAGCTGTCTCATATGATTTCTATATGTTACTCAAAATTCAATATTTTTTTTTGCTGAGAGTATTAATGTCACAGTAATAAAAGGATATGATTCTAGGAGTCACATACTTTGCTTCCTGCCAAATTACTATAATCAAAGCCCAAAGCACTAGAGGAAGCCATATCACATTCATGCTGTCTTCATATGTCACAGACCACTTAAATTTCCTCTCTTGGTATTAGAATAACCTTATTTCTGTATCAGAGATTTGTGGCATTCAAAGTTCTATGTACAATTTCATGCTGTTCTAAATGAGCTTTTTAAAATTTCTTTCTTCAGAGCACACCCTCATATTATGGGTAATTACAATAATTAATTTTTCATAAACACCCTTTGACTTCATTAGATAGAAAATATTGCACATTTCAAAGCATATCATGTTAATGTTGCCATTATTTCTATACTTGGATCAAGAGAGATGGAATTTCCTATTTGAGAAAAGAGAATTAAAACTATGCATCTGTCATACTTCACTAAAAATTTTACCAGATATGTGCCAATCATTTCATATTTATATTATACCCATTATTACTGTTAGTAAGGGATTATATATATGCCTTTCTAACCTTTGTTTCTCCCAGTGAAGTAAATACTACTCTACAGCAGATGTGTAAATACCTATTCATCCAAAGTAATTAACAAACTATGCCAGGCAAATAGATATTTTTAATCTAATTTTACTCTTTTATTACCTATACACTCCTCAAAAGAGGTGAGATTGTTTTAGGGGGGAAAATGTGAACTATTATAATCCTGTACTGTTCACAAGGGACGAAGCCACCTCTCAATCATGAGAGGACCTGGCTTATTATTTTATTTACCTGATTCATATCACCAAAAAATCACAAATGCTGATACAACCCCAATGTGTACTAGCTTACCTATAAAATAAGGACAATAGTTTCTATCTTAAAAAGTTGTTGAGGAAATAAAATGAGAGCAATTAAAATGCCTCACTAAAGACCAATAGATTCAATAAATATCACTAAAATTATGGGAAAAGTCCATGGAAGAGCCACATGTAAAACCAGCTCCATGCCTTCCCCTCCCTGTGGCCCAGCAGTCCCATGAAGTCGCTGCGGGCGCCCCATGTACCTCATCAGCAGGTCCTCATCAGCAAGTGGAAAGGTCTCACTGTTGCAGGGGTTGGAGAGACCACTAGAGTAATAAAGTATACAGCCTTGATATCAAGTAACTTAAAACCTGGCTGTGGGTACAATACTACTATATAATAACAGTGACTGCATTTCAGAATATGCCCATGTGGCTTGCAAAGTAAGAAATAACATTTAGAAAGTTTTGAGGATGACTGAGAAAATGAAAGGTGCACTGGAGAAAGGCTAGTTGGGCCACAGTGTGAAAGAGATCCTGGATACGAGGAGGACAATCAGAAAGTTGTGGCAGGTTTTCTGTGCACAAGAGGACAGATACCTTGACAGCAGTAAGGAGGTGTACTGAAGAGGAAGGGAAGGTGAGGGCTGTACCCCCTCCTCCATGGCCCCACATGTCCTGATTGCTCAGTCTTGATTAGATGGTACACTTGTCCCAGCCAAGGTAAGTTTGGAGGTGGAGCAATTTGTCTATGCAGTGACCTCCAGGAAGTTTTCCAAGGAACCCTGTGCCACAATGCCTTGCTTTCAGCTAGGCATCATGAATGAAAGGGGTCTTAGAGGACTTTCATACAGCTAATATTTTAAGTGTATTATCCTCTTGACACATATCTGTCTTGTAATAAGAATTCTAAAATATAGTCAATGGTAATCCAAAACAATACATTTTAATGATGAATTTAAGGTACTCTTGTACGCTAATGAGGTAAACATTTCAGCAGAGAGGATTTTGGGGGTACCTGTCACACTCATCTCCTTCTGCTCCTGGACCGGTTCTGATCATACACCCTGGTGTCTGGTAACCATGGTGACAGCATATAGCTTGTAGCCACAAAATCCCATGACCATCAGTCAAAACTGACATCTATTTTTAACTATTTTTTAAAAATCTTGACTTGAGGACATGTTTATTGATTTTAGAGAAAAAGAAAGGGAGAAAGAGACAGAGAGACAAAGAAATAATAAAGTGACAGAAAAATATCAATCAGTTGCCTCTCACATGTACCAAACTGGACATGAAACCTGCAACCTAGCTATGTGCCCTGACCAGGGATTGAACCTGCAACCTTCTGATGTGCAGGAGGACATTCCAACCAACTGAGACACCTGGTCAAGGCCATTTTTAACTACTTTCAACTTCCTGAATATTTTCTGGAAAGTGTCTTTGCTTGAACTGAGCAGGAGGGGAAAAAAGAGGATGAAACTGTAGAAGAAATGTACTAGTACAAATCCACCACACAATTTAAAAAATTCTTATTATCTGCCCTGGCTGGTGTAGCTCAGTGTATTGAGCACAGGCCTGTGAACCAAAGGGTCACCGTTTCATTCCCAGTCCAGGCACATGCCTGGGTTGCAGGCCAGGTGCCCCTAGTAGGGGGCACATGAGAGGCAACCACACACTCATGTTTCTCTCCCTTTCTTTCTCCCTCCTTTAAAAAAGGGGGAAAAAAAGAAGAAGAAAATTCCTATTACCTAATTGTAGCATCCAGTCCCAAACCAGGTCATAGACTTTTCAGTCATAAAATTGCCTGTTGAGAGAGAGAGAGAGAATTAGAGAGGATGATAATACTTGTGCATCTTCACTTTTGTGGTTGGGTCAGTTAGAGTGTATAATCTCCCCACTTGGGCTACATTGCTTGAGGAGGTGCTTTCTTTGCAGCTTCCTCTTCTTTTCATTATCTTTCCACTAAAGAAGAAGAATTCTCCTGGAAGGCAGTAGAGAAGATAGGCCTCACTGTGCGTACAATAGGCAATGTTTGCAGATAACAAAAACTACATGAAAGAAGAAATTTTTAATGATTTGCCAGGTTAAGCTATATCACCACTGATGCAGACTTGGATAGTTATTTTCCCAACACTTAGTAAGACAAACCATTCCGTGGTCACACCCTTTATAAAGCAACAGTATTGATTTCTGAACTTGGTAATCAATGAAAGCTAGCATCATAATCCTTCTTTATTAACAAATATACATGGGGTCTACCCACTTTTTCTAGTGAATAAGTTTCTTTTCAAAGCATTTTTAACACTGTTCTTCAATTCTCTATAAGCCTGCAATCCACCCACTTAAGGGAAAATGGTATTTATTCAAGAAGAGAATCAGGCCAGTTGCATTTTGCTAAGCAGTTGTCTCTGCAGTACTTATTTTGCAGCAGGGTTTATGTTTGTGCTTTTTCAAATAGACTATAGTTAGCGCTCCTAAGTTGTTCAGTCTAAAATGTCCTTTGAAATGTTCCAAAAATGTTCCTCACTCTTTTCAGAGGGTGCACCATTCTGTCAGTTTCTCTTGCCTAGCTGGAGCAAATTGTAGCTGGAACATGACAGGCATAAATTGACCTAGTTATTGTTGTGCCCCTTAGTGTTAAAGTAACCTCAGCAACAAATGGGGATTTGGGTTAGACGGCATGTAAAAGCTGAGCATAGATAGGACAGGGAGAGCCCTGAAAGGATCTTACTACCTCTTCGCATTTGCAGTATAGTCAGAGCCTTTTATAGAATTTTTGGTAATATTCATATCTCAGGAACTCTCTGTTGTGGGAAAAGGTCATTATAACATTATTTATCATGACATAGATTTGGATATGTCATGCATTGCTCACATTTGAGAAGAATAACCCCTTAAACTAACTCCCTTGCAGTGTCAGATGTTGTCTAGATGAGGTTAGGAAACAACACGTAGACTCCTCTCTATTATTCCTCTTCCACCCGATGCCACAGTGTGAAAAGTGGACCACCACTGGTCAACTTATATTAAGTATTGCCCTTCCTCAATTATTCATTCCTTCTTTAAATTCAAATGCTTTTG